AATATTTAACTGAATGCGTTTTATTTTTCATTTTTATATTAATTCATAACTCACTAGATACTTTGAATATATCATCAAAATATTTATTAGAGTACATTTGATGCATCTAATATCAAGATATGATAACCGCAATAGAGTTGTTCCGTAAAATGTACTACGCAGAGGTACATATACAGTTGCATTAGAGTCACACAAACTATTTTTCTAATATTCGTATAAGTATTATCTCTAATATACGTTAGTTTATGTATCCTTTCCATATCCTTTAATATTAAATTTCATGTTAATGTCATTTAAATTTCTTTCCAAGCGTTCCTTGGTCTGTCCTTTGGGGAAAAACGCTTTTCAAAAAATATTGTGATTCATTGCATTTTAAAATCAAAGCATGTTTCCATATGAAATATTCGTTTCTGTACGTCTTTCATATTTTCCAATTTTTACTCTTTTCTATCATACATTGTCAAAAGACTTTTCAAGAAAATCAATACGAAATATGTCTTTTGTAGATGATTTGCTCCATAGATTGGCATTTTATGAAGCACAGTTTTGGCTCATCGCCAATGCACCAGACACAATCTGCATATTTGAATTAGATTTTTAGGGTAATTTTTAAAAGTATCTTACAATCATAAAAGTGTATTCATATTCTAATGATTTTATTTATCATTGACGATTTATGGTAGTTAATTCAATTATTATTACTGCAGCTATAATATGGGTTGGGTTGTATATTGTATTGAAACCAAAAAACTAATTCCAAAGATATTTATGAGATTGAAAAATTTATAACAATATTTTAAGCGGAATATTTAATTGTAATTCTATCTTTAAATAAAAAAAAAATTTATTATAACTGCATATTTATTTATGTTATTGTAGCTTCTTGTTGTTAAGGTAGCTTAGCAATATAGTCCGAAAAAGGGTGTTCAGTATGTGTTGTGTAGTCGTTCTTTTAACATTTAATCATTTACTTAGAACACACTAGACTGATACGACAATAAGTGCGATAGTCCATAAAATGGTGTTTACCGCGTATGCCTTTCAATACTTCATTTATCTTCGCAACATAATATTCTACACTAGATCGATATACTAAATGTATCAGATTAGATCGATAACCGTAAAAAATTAAAAATGGAGGGAAAATAGTGGATTTACATCAGAGAACTGCAATGAATACTCAACACTCGAATTCTATTCATATCATTGACTAAGCCCTGCGATCTTTGGACTTAAATTACTGAAATGTACTACAGTTGATATAGAAATCACCTAAATGTGATTAAATTTACATATACGTAAACAATGTATATACGTATACATTTTTTTGGCTCGGGCCAAAAAAAAAGACACGTTGCCAAATCAGCTGTTTGAAATGAGATCAAATGAATAACAACGAATGTAAACACTTTTAAATGACTGATTTGAAATGAGTCATTTGCGGCCAGTGTAAACGCCATATTATTCACTGCCGACATTATTTTAAACAATACTCAGTAAAAAATACTACAAGAGTACTATTAGGTAGAATTACACGATGTGCACATTAAGACGATGTTTTCGCTTCTATGACTTTAAACAGAAAAAAATTTACATGGAAGCCGACCTAAGTCGGATTGAATACGAAAAAAACGAGCAATACTGGCGAATAATCAAACAAGAGTACTCATTCCAGAGTACTCCAGACCTACTAACTCCTTTTTGTAGTATGATTTGGAATTGGAGTTCTGCAACCACCCATAGCCTTTAATCTATTTTATAAACTGTTTTCAAAATCGTACCTGATAACTTATCGATTATCATATCTGTCTAGTGTGCGTTACCGTTCAACAAAGGTGGCAACACTGAATGCATATGTGAAATTATTCGAGTAGCTGGTACTCCTTTGCCCTTCATTTTGTTATTGTGTTTCGCAACAAGTTGTGTGAAAGAGCACGATATACTGTATTATTTTTGTATTAAAGAAAACGAGAATATGCGATAGAGCACAATATATTGATTGTCCTTATTACACATACTTATAAAAGGAACTGCAACCAAAAAAAATCCTATTGTATATTATAAAGTTAAAAATTATAACTCTTTTGTTCATAAATTAACTCAAAAATAATAAAATATATGTATAATTGGATGTGAATGGTTGGTATAATTCCAACGAGAGAAGACTGTCATTATTTTCTATTTAATTCTAATAGAAAAAAATTAACTCGCGTTGTTTGTAAACAAAAATTATTTCTCATGATTATTTAAAATAATAATAATATATTAAGTATAATGCTTAATTAATATTTATTATTAATGGACATTTATTTTTTAATTATAAATTAACTGAAATATAGATCCTAATGCCCGAATTCTAGCAGGCTCGTTTGTCTAGGGGAATGATTTTCGCTTCGGGTGCGGAAGGTCCCGGGTTCAATTCCCGGACGAGCCCAAGCAAGTGCTTTTTTTTTAAGTCTATGTTTTCGGACGCAAATTGACTCGTTATTTTTGGATTATGTATTTTGGTTAGAGTATTCGAGGTTCAATGTTCAAATTTCGGACAGGCATAAGAAGCTTGGTTTCTTTTGTAACGGACTTAAGACCCTTTATAGAAATTTTATTATGTTGAAGTTGTCTATAAATTTTTTTAAATTATTTTTTTTATTAATTTTTTTTATTAATTTTTTCTTATTAACTTCAAATTTCAAATTTGATTAATACATATTTCAAAAAAAAAAATTTTTTATGATTATTTACTTTTCAGTTTTTATATTTTTATTTATATAGCATAACATATAATATGATCAGTTGCCTAGTGTTCAGTTTTCCTACAAGAAATGAAATTCTCCTTTACACATTATCTAATTTATTTGCCTGTCATTGAAAATAAGTTGAGATGATGTACGAAATATAACCATAGTTAATAAATAAATATCTAATATCCTATCGGGTAGTAGTTCGTAAAACAATTCTTGCCAGATATTAGAACTGGGATAATGAAATATTTCAGACAAAGTCTCAATGAAATCTGACAAAATTCTGATTATGAAATTCAGAAAAAATTCCTCTGGATAAAGATGACGGATATGATAACAGATGCTTTCTGTCATATAGTGAGCAGTTCCACAGTTAGCAGTAGTTCTTCATGTAAAAGGTAGCTAGCATATTATATTATATATGGAACAATTACTTAGTGTGAATTATTTTCTATCGATATTCTCTAGCTGGACTTACCATAAGAAACAAAATGTGAATGACAATTTTTACTTAATTTGTCGGTTCGGCTTATGTCAACCAAGAAAAAATGTGTTTTTACTAAAGTAAAAATTTAGTATGTAGGACTTAAAATATATTTATAATAGAATAAACTAACATTGAGCCATTCTTCCAGCGTTATTGTATGAAAAACTTATCAAATTATTTCATGAAAGACACTGAAATCGAAGTTGCATAAAGTAACTGGTGTACTGAAGTATTGGAAGTATTAAAAAACTGCAGAAATCATGTACAAACTATAAATTAGGCAACGCATATGACAGAATGTCACTTGAAGACTAACTTTAAGGATTATGTTGGACCACTTAATAAAAGAGTGGGGGGCTTATAACAGCCGACTGGTACACCAAACCTTCATTCATAGCTGATGCCAATGTTATAAAATTTAAAAAAAAATTATTTAGACTCTCAAACACAGTTGACAATAACAACGGTATTTAAAATTTTTCATCTTTATCCTGGAAGATCGTTAACCACAAAACAAAAAAAAAATTGATGTTTGTCTGGATTTTGGTACATCAGGTTAGGTTAGTTAATACCGGCGATTCCAAGGCCCAGTGTGTTACAGCATAATTAAAGACTCAAGGGTTATAACCACATAGAACCTTTGGTAAAGCTAATAATCATTGAATAGCTTCATTGAATATTTAGCACTTTCAGCTAACACATAAACGTATTATTCATATTACTTCAAAATTTCGTAATGCTCTTACTTCTAAACGTGGCACTTATAGTCTACTAAATTACAGACTAATCAATCAATAAGAGCTTTTTCTAAAAAACACTGATTATGGGCATTGTCAATTGTTACGCTAAAGTGCATGAACGATCATTATCCTAGAAAAACTAATATATGGTAGTCCATCCGAAATTTTCAATGATGTTCTTAGTCAAGTAAGTAATAAAGTAGTCACATTGTACTGTCTAATATGTAACTAACTATTTTCCAACATGGTATTTAACAGGACTACTTTACATAGGTTTTGTAGTCCATCTATTTATTTGCAATCACATCCATTCATATGATAGATTCTTCCCTGATGTAAGTTGGTAGGTATTATTGCCGGCAGACTTTCCACTTCTGTCTATGCAACGCATAACATAGGTGCTGTTTTCTTACCAAACAACCAGTTTAAAGATAATTTTTTAAAAATCTATTTATGTTTATGAAGATCTATTTTATTATTTATGAAGATAGATCACAAATTTCTTTTCTACAATAAATTTAATAAAAAATATTAGTTTAGCTTTTTCCTTCACCAACTCTACTACGGAGTATTGGTGACCATATAACACAATTATTTTTTTTATATTTTTTTATAAACTCTCAATCTACTTTTTGAATTGCGCCCTGATTCCAGTCACCACTGTGACTTCATGATACTTGGAATTACTCAGACTCACAAATTTTTATGATTAAAAGTTGTTTTTCTATGAGTTTATTATGTTTGACAAAAAAAAAATAATTGCAAAATGAACAATAGATGAACAATATCTCACAGTAATATAATTTGCTATTTAATAAAAGTGAAATATTTTGCTATATTAATTTTATTGAAATTATAATATATTTTGCTATATTCATATATTTAATCTTAAAAGTTCGATTACGGCCCATGCTTTGAAAAATTATAATAAAAAACAATTTAGATGTATCTAAGTGTGGCTTAAGTTAGTTTTTTGTTGCATGTGGCAAGTATGAAGTAATAGAACATTTAATAAAGCTCTTTATTTATACTTACGTTTGTGGATAGTTGACTGCTCAAGCTCAGCACTTGTTCCCGAGCATCCATAAGTTCACGTTTAAGTCGTCGAATTTCATTTGCTTGCCGTTCTTCAGCTGAACCATACAAGGAACTACCACCCGATAGTAAAGAAGCCGCACTGCCATGTACTGCGTGGGTGCATGAAAAATGGTAAAAGTTTAGTTTTTAATTAGCAAAGTAGCAAACTAAAACAATATACTCAAATTACCTTCATCATTTTTCTTTGGATATGTCAGTCGGTGGCCCCCAGTTGTAGCACCCGCCAGGCTCGTCAGGCCCAAAACAGCATTTGCTGCATGTGTGGGTGAAAGTGTGCCAGCAAAACCGCGATTGATTGGGGTAGGTGATGTGGGCTGGCTCCAAACGACTGGTGCAACACCTGTGGCTTGTGTATTGGCATGCGATGCTGCGGCTGCTGCTGCGGCAGCCATTTGTACGGATATAACGCCATTTTGTGCTGCAATAGTACCGACTGGTAGGCAATAGTAGGGTTCAATCTCAACGTCCGGACCTCGGCTAAGCATTGAGGGATACATTTTTTCTGACTTGGTTGATCTACATTTCCAAAAGAAAAAAAATTATTTTTAATTCTTTTTAAACAAAAATCACAGCAAAAATTTAGAAGCACATACGACATTGATAGAAAACTATAAGCAAAAAAATTGTGAGAAGCAAAAGCGAATTATTTAATTTGATTGTGCGGACAAAAAAAGCAGTTGCAAGCTTAAATTTGGAAAAATAATTTTATTTGTTGTCGAACGGTCTTATCAACGAGCACTTCCGCTCCAGTCTGACCACAAAATTGCATTCTGTCGACAGAGTGCAAAATCAATCAAGCACCAAATCAACGCCAACGAAGCCATTAATAATTTCGACATCGGGTGCAGAGCAGTTGTTGCATGTGCAGTCCAATGCCACACCTAATTCTTTCGAGTAGAGCAGTTATGATACCGACCGACTCAGTGTCGGACGTAGTCAAATTTTCGATTTGCTCAATTGCCAATTCAATTTCAAGACGGAAACGTTGACGTTATTTGTGGCATGATGTTTGCATATATCAGTGGCAGTCAAGTGGGCCAGTTTGCTGAGGCGCGCTGGCTTAGTGGCTTCATTAGGTGGATATGTCAGCCTGCATGCCACATACTTCGAGGCAGTTAACTGAGCTGTTGGATTATTTAATGCCTTTCGAATTTCCAATCCATATGTGGTAGTGCAGGTGATGGCTTAACATTTTTGTGTTTTTATGTCTTTTATGATGAAATATCTTTAAGTTGTGGAAAGAAACGGAATGTGTCTAAAGAAGAATACTGTGGGGCCAATTTTTGAAAAGCAATTTTTTGATTCTCAACATATTCCATATATAGCTGTGGGTGAAATAAATTATTTTCTATAAGTGATTTATAATAAATAAGCAGTGGGAAGAGCAATGGGCATATGAAGCACTATTTTGATTATGAGCTGCCATTAGCATTATATTTTTAACCATAAATTAAAAAAAAAAATTATGAATAAGTATTGGCTAAGGTTCAAGTAAATCTAATTATACTGCGCCTAAGTTAGATTGCATGAACTGTTTCAGAAGTAATATACAAATGAACAGATCTGTATAAAAAGAAATATACTATTTTGCATCATTAGACTTCTATTTTTCTGGAGAAGTGCAGACGATGAAGTTACTTGCCAATGAAAAGAAAGAATTTTACAGGTGTAGAAGTCATTTATAAGACTTTTAACGACACTCTAAAGGACTGAGAAGATGCAAAAACTTTTTCATTATCATACAATTTTGACAGTACATAAATGGAGAATCAATCTCACCAAACCATCTGATTGTCAAAAGATGACATCATTACAAGTACTTATTTTAAGAAATCCTGTTTACTTTGAAACGTAGCCTGTCTATTGTTAGGAATAAAAAAATAAAAAGTATATGAAAGTTAGGAAGTAAAAAAAAATTTGATTAATATATATAAAAATACCAATAGACCAAAATAGTCACTGTAATCGGATTACCTAATTACAGTGATTAAGATTCAGAAACAAGGGGAAACTATACGTGAACAATTAATCTGGGCTTTCAAAATCAAAATGGCTTAAATGCACTTTCAATTTAAAACGATTTAAGGGTTCTATTAAACTAAATAAAAACAGCTTGTAAGTTAGTAAATGAATTCTGATACCTTATAATAGGTTAAATTGATAGATTATAAGACTATGACTTTATTTTAATAGAATATTGATTTTGTAGAGAAAATAATAAAATCTTAAAACATGTGTAGGGAGTTTGTTAGGTACTGATGCATTAATGAAAGTAATATCTATGTGAGCATTTCATATTGGACGAAGAAATAAGAGTCGAGACAGTAGGTTTTATACTATATTTGATCAAGAATATCAGATTTGGAAAAAAATATTAATTCATGATGACTTTAAAATAACAACTACAATGTTTCGTCAACCTATGTTTCAGATGCAACGTCGGTATCTTCTGGTATAGACGTATCACTAATATGCACTTATAGGAGTTGACTGGTCAAACAGGTATAATTAATGACTTCAATACAAGGAAGTATAGATGACTAGGACATATACTACGAAAAAGCAGCAAAATTTTGCAAACTACAACCTTGTCTGGAAACCCACGTAAGCAAGGTAAAGAGGTCGCCCTACAAATACGTACAGACATACTCTAAGGAAAGAAACAAAAGAATTGGTTAATGAACTAAGATACCTGGTTCAAAATAGTCTAAATTGGAAGCAACTAGTAGATAGGCTAAGTTCTCATTCTTATGATCTATGATTGTCTACGCTTAAGAACATGTCAAATAATAATAATAATAGAAAAGCAATTTTGTTTTTCAACGAATTATGAAAAATATTAGTATAGTATATAATATATGTGGGTACAGTATCTACTTAAATATTATTTTTAAAATTATGAATATAATTAAAATTATGTTGTTTCGATAAGGAACATGTTGTTTGCATTAATGTCAAGGAATGTATTTCCAAATTCCCACACCAATAATCTCAGAATTTTTGAGATACAACAAAAGTTCACAATAAAGTTATTGTTTAGGATTCCGGAACTTCAAGATTCCAGGGTTGGCATCCCTAATTCAAATTTATTGCCTAAGTTGCAAATGACAAATTGTAATTTCAAATCCGAAACTTAAGTGTAGTCACTCATTATTTATTTTATTTGTAATTGTTTTCCAGTACATAAATTTTGGAGAATGCTGTTTTGGAGAAAATAGTATACATTATAGTGTAATATTAAAATAAATAAGCTTCCATACAAAGCATATGGTTTTTCTTGAGTGAAACTTATCACTTAAGTATTCAAATTAAATACATTTCAAACACTTCAGATCGAGATAAGTTGAGGCTTCCGAGAAGTGTTGGATTGAAAATTCCTTAAATTCTTGCAAATGTTTAATGTAAACAAAAACACTTAAAGTAGTTGCAGTTAAAATTCTTTAGCTAACATTGGCAAAACTTGAGATACATCTTCTTGTCATGGCAAAGCAACACTGAAAGCAATTTGCGGTTTGAAATCTTCCGCTTGATGTGCACATCATCCTGCGTCGTGCTTTGTCTGAAGTTTGCTAAAATTTCTGTGGATTCTTCAGAAACAAAATCATATCGAATTTTGTAAAAATTCAAAGGATTTTCATAGTGTGAACACTTTCTCCACAAACACTTTAGTGTCAGACACAGTTGCAGCGTAGCAGGGAATGAGCACTTATACTTATACATTTTTAATGTCAGTCATTAAAGAAATTAAACATAAAACGTTTGACGGTACAAAAATAAGCACCGAATAGTAGAAAGGACATACATCAGAAGAAGGTGGCAACATTACATATGTTCACAGGTCTTTAAAATGCATTAAAGTGGTAATGTATTCATGTGTCCACCAAGCATGGTACTGGACACGGCCAAAGGAGTCGTGTAGTCAAACTTATAAATGTGTACGGGCACATGTGCGCACATACGAACTACAAATTCTGACTGATAACTGACACTAATGGAATTCTACAGGATAATGTTAAATTACCAACGTTGAAATGAAAGGATTTTCTAGTTGATGTGCCCTGAATACATACTGATGAATGAGCTGTTACTTCAATTTGTTGCCTAACTTACATGCAAATATATATCTATGCATATATAAATATACATATATTTACATATTTATATATTGGTATATATATATATAGGTGTATAGGTTTGGTATGTTTGGGTTTGCCAAAACATGGTATGGACACATGAGATGGATATGTATGTTTCCAATTCTCTGGATGAAAGACCTTAGCATATGGTGCTGTTGATTTAAAATTTAAATTATAATAAACACAATTGTTTATTTAATGAACATAAAAAAATGTTGATAAAATGTTCAAATTGAGATGGGACCTATTAGAGGATGGAGAATATTTAAACAAACTAAAATAGTACACTCAATGTTATTTCTAATATATTCCATGTAATACAATTTCAAACCAAAGCTCGGGCACAAGTAGTCTAAACCTTTAATCTGGATAAAAAAAATAGTTTCCATCTATTAAATAAATTTAGTTGCTGTTGTGCTGTGAAGAAGACTTGACATATATTAGGTTGATATTATTCCAATGTCATAATAAACATTGATCTTTAACGTCCGTTTAAACGAAAAAAACTAAATTCTTAATATAAATCAATGTTTTCAATTCAGAGGTATTTCAGACAGTAGTAAACCACAACACTAAAATTTTATTATTTATTAATTCATCAAATTTTTAACTGACCATACTGCCGGTTTGAATATTGTCAAATACCCCTCATTAGTGTTATTGTACTTATTACTCATATTTCATTATTCATAAATAATTTTTTTGCGACTGCAAGTAACAAGGGTGGTACTCGTGCCCTGCCAAATTTGCAGCTCAGAGCCAGCATTCATTTACCAACTGACGTAAACCCGTACTTGATATATATATAGGTCCAGAATTTAATGTGAATACTTGCCGTGAGGGCTCAACACCATTGTGTTCTTTACATACGCATCGGTATATTGCGCTGATTTATGCTCCATTGAATCTCCGATGAATTTTGCCGGTACCAATTGAAGTTGTGTGTTTGGACAGAATTTTCTCCTTGGTGAGGAGCGACGCTTATCTAACACTTTTACTAATCTTCATCGAATGATTGTACATGAATACAATCATTCCACCCACTTTAGTTTGGGTTCTAATTACAACCACCTCGATACTTCCTTTAAGAAGTCAAACTTATTTGTCAGGACAGCCGAAGCTGCGGGCCTTGACCCTCGTGGTACTAGATTCGGTCGGGTCGGGTGTTGTAAGTTAAATTCATTTACTAGCAGTGATACTCCAAAGAGTATCGGGATGGTGCTGGGATAGTACTTGACTTGTAAGTTTGAACTTGGAGCTTTTTGTTTATTTGCAGTGAAAGTTCATTAACTAATACACTTGTTGTGTTGATTTGGAAAGAAATCTTAAACTAGCTGTAGAATAATTGAATTAATTATTTATAAAGACGTTTTTTCGAAA